CAATTCATCAACAAGTAGAGAACGTAGCACCTTAATAACTACTAATTTTATGACCCGATTACCCTACTCGGCAATTCATCAACAAGTAGGGGTCGTTATAAAATTCTTAATCCTACAGTACCCTCATACGGAGCGTCTATACTGCAGTTTCTAACTACGTCGCGCTGTCCACCGGACCCTCACGCTCTAAGACTGTATGAATTACTCTACTCGGCAATTTATCAACAAGTAGAGATCGTTACACACTCACATACACATAACCTGCACGATCCTCGCAGACATAACCCGCTCACACACACACACTGAATCTACTTTACTTTTATTTATGAAATTTATAAAAGTTATTCCAAAAAATTAGTATCCAAAAATTAACTACATTAACTCTCAACTTAATTATTCAGTCATTAGCTAACGAATAAAATCATAACTTATTTTCACGACTAATAATTTAATCTCCAAAAATTCCGGACTAAAACCGACGCCTAAACTTATTCCAATTTTTCCACAAGTTTAATACTCAACGTTAAATAAATTTCCGGAACATTTGACGGACAAAATTTATTCCAAATTAACTCGTTATTTTAATTATTACTTATAAAAATATAATTATAAAATTTCATCAATTAATTTTAACTAATTATAAATTCCCGGATTTAATATTTACGTTTGTTAAATTAAATTCTAAGGAGTTTTTACAAGATGATGAAATTAAAATTATTGAATATTTTTTCTGGAGTTAAAATTCAATATAAAATTAACCGCGTGGAATTTTCCGAATAAATAATTAATTAACAAATAATTTAATATGAAATAAATTACGAAAAATTATCCACGGGTATTTCAATCTCAATTCGCGCCGTAAATTCAATAATTAATTTTCAATAATAAAATAATTTCCCATAAATAATATAATATAAATAATTATTTCATTGTAGTAAATAATATTAAATAATGATAATTCAATTGTTGTAATTTCAATAATAATAGTTCAGTCGTTAAATTTATAAATTACTGCGTAATATAATTGCCAGGAATTTGCGCGCTCAAAATGGACGCCGGCATTCGTAAGTGCGTAGTAATGCTTTGATCTCGGGTATGCGACCGACGCTTGACCGATCTGTGAGCTGACGATTGGAATTTTCTCGATGTTTGGAAATTTGATTTATTTTATTAATTAAAATAGTTTTATCTAAACCAATCTTTCGATGTTAATAATTATTATCCGGCCGAATTAATAAATAATTTCTCACAACTTCTAAAACCACAAGGTCTAGAACATTCCTCGGGTATAAACCCCCAAGAGGAATGCTCACAGCAATTAACGAATCAAATTGAATTACGGTTAAATAATTATGGAATTATAATTAAATTAATTATTACTAGACAATTGAATTACTTAAAATAATTATGAGAAGTAGTAATTTGATGAGCCGAGTATCTGACCCCGCGGCTTATCAATATAAAGTCTTAATACCTGGTGTAAATTTACTTGAAGAAACTCCTTTGTTCCAATCGACTTCCTTCTTGAACTTTTGGATGCTGTTGGTTTGAGCACTTCACCATTTTTTTTTTTTTTTTTTTGGAACTTACACGTCAGCCTTTCGGCCTAGACACGTGGGACTTACATCCCTCCTCTACTGGACTATTTACAGTACATTTACCTCCTCAGCGGCTGTGGCCGACTTACAATCTGCACCCGCATTTGCCTGTGCCCCGTCCCTTAACACAGTGACCAAGGAAACCACAGAAACCTGGCCAGGGTACAGTCGGCAAGGAAGCAAGCCCTGGAAATCGCAGAAAAACTGTGACTGCCAGGGCTCGAACCCACGCCTCAGCGACTGTTGTGCGGGTAGTTTAAGACTTAAATCGCTCGGCCACGCAGTCGCTTGCACTTTACTACTTCTCACTCACTGCCGCTAAGTGACTAGTCAAGTAACCCCCAATACCCCCACTTATGACTAGCCGGGTCCCGAAGACCGAGACGCGCCAGTTCTGCGTCGAATAGTTACTCGCATCTGATCGGTTTTACCGATAAAGGGTAAATTACCCTGTTACACATTGTTCTTTGATCTTAAAAAATTTTTTGGTTAATACTTGGTGTAAGATATAAGCGTATTCATATTAAGCTTTTCATATTAATTGATAGATAATAATAATTTTTTGTTTATTTTTTTTGCAGAAAATCTTGCAACAAGATTGAGATAAAATGGTTCTGGATTCATAGTATAATTGAGAGATGAATTAACTACATTAAAATGTATCCTACTGTCAAGAGAAGAAGTTGCAAATTAATCAAGATATCTTAACTTAGAGAAAAATTTGAAACGGCAACATCACTTGACAACAAGATCATTACAGATCATAATAATCATATTGATGATAATTATAATCATATTAACAATGATAATAATAACATCCTTAATTCCTTCTCTATTTCTTCATATATATCTCATATTGACACTCCAGACACTCCCACACCTATTTCAATATAAAAGCGAACAATAATAATAATAATAATAATAATAATAATAATAATAATAATAATAATAATAA